TCCCAAACGACATACCAATCAAATAACATCAAAACTTTCTAAGTTATACAGTCCAGCTAATAAAGAGGCTATGTAAATAAAATTGTTAACCAGCTACAAACTTTTAAAAACTTTTTAAAAATCCTTAAGATTTTCACCTTGACATTCTTCATGAATTGATACGGTACATAATAAAACATCTTATGTAGTGGATTTTAAGTTGGGTTATAGTTTTTTTGAGTGACAATTCAAGATCTAACCTAGAGCTCAATTTCACCGCTGCCACTGCTCTCAGGATATTTTTGCCAGGGATAGAGCATTCCAATCATTGTTCCTAATGCGCTGTCTCTGTCAAGTAATAACTACTTAAGTTACCAGGTATTATCAGGGGAAATCTCTTTCAGGAACACCTGGGAACTAAAAAGATGTATGTACTCAAATATCCAGCATTTCTCAAGCCAATTTCAGGGCCCTTTCAAATATTTATTGGAGGTTAGACAAAACAGTACAAGATAATTTCCTGTTCTGCAGAATTCATAAATTACCATACTTCTAATTACAACGAGAAAACATCCAGCTTGCCAGCAACTTCTACCATGACTGCAAAACTCAATTCTTCCTTCTGATGAAGTAACTGCGGCATGAGGTGCTTAAGATAGCGATATGAGGCACCTGGTTTTAAAACAACTTGGTTAGATATGTTCTAATTCATTCAAGAGCAAATGCAGATTTTATGTGTCAATTATACAACAATAGAGCTGTGTTATTTACTTCTAATAATTTTATTACAAATATATTTTTTGGAGACTTTTGATTTCAAGTTGATATTAGGACAATGCTTGTTATCACCTGTGATATAGGTATAGGAAAAGCCAAAAGAAAGCCAAGAGCTGACTGAATGGTACCTAACAATAATTATAAGGCCTTATTCACTAAATTAGATCCTTTCGTATTCATTGTTATTATCAATGAATCACCTGAAAGAACAATTCTGATTTTATATATCCAACAAACATATGAAATACTGCTTTAGTCTGGCAATTTTTTGCTCCTAGCAAGGTTTGGTAAAAAGTCCAACCAATTTTCTGCCCTCAAATTTTATTAATTAAAACACCAAGGGATCGTAACTCACAACCAAGAATCCCCCAGATCTTTAAAGTGACATTCCACTTTTCTGAACTTATAAAAAAAAAATGTTGCTGATTGCTATTTAGAAGCATTAGCTTTTAAAGCAATCATTGTTTTGAAAATAGAACCTACAGATGGAACTTATTTGAATACTTGAATATGTTAATAATCTGAATTCAACTGTTGAATGACCATATGAATGTCAAGTAAATTCATGCTTCATTATTTCCTTCTTTGGGTTTTCTATGAGAAACAAAAGCCACCTAGTGACTTTTAGAAAATATTTTCGGAAACTTGAATAGCTTATTGAAAAGAAAATATCTAGACTCTCCAACGTTTTTATTCTTCATGTGAACATAAAGTTGCTTAAGAAGGCAGTTATCAATCTTTGGGATTCAGTCACAGAACATTTTATTATTATGGAACCAAAGTAAACAACCCATCTCCTGAGACCAAAAGGTCTTCTGAAAATTGTACTCTTCCTATTAAATGTTATGAAAATTAGAAAATTTTAAAAAAATAATTCTGAGCATAAAGATTTTACATTGGCTCCATTTCTTTTATTTGCATGAAAGTTAGAAACGAAAAGCATCAGGGCGGGGGTGGGTGGGATGAATTGGGAGATTGGGATTGACATATATACACTAATATGTATAAAATAGATAACTAATAAGAACCTGCTGTATAGCACAGGGAACTCCACTTCGCCATACAGTAGAAACTAACACAACATTGTCAAACAACTATACCCCAATAATAATAATAAAAAAAAAGAAATGAAAAGCATAAAATGTTTGTGTGTCCAAATAAAATCATTTTGTGACCAAGTATTATTTTCAGATTTCCTGAAGACTGTTTTCCAGATTTTTAAATCGAATGATTCTTAACATTTAGAAAATATTTTCTGGTAGGGGAGGATTAGCTTGGTGTCCAAATCCATATAATTATTTGTCCATCTCCCTGGTTTTTGGATTTTATCAAATATCAACCAATCCTTTATAAAGTATTCACTTTTATATAATACCAGCTGATCTCAGATGATGCTAGAGAATAAAATGATTACTGTGTCTTTGATTTGAATACAAATTATAATTTTAGTTTATAAAATTATATAAACAACTGTATTATATACGTCCATCACATACCAGGCACTGCCCTGGGAATTAGAACACAATGGGGACTAGACAGATATGGCCCTGCCCTCCTTAACCTTTACAGTGTGTGTTTTCTAAAAGTTTTTTATGCCTCATACTTTGAAGTTTCATTTGTTTTCCATCCTGTCTCTAAAACTCTCAAATATCCATGTATCATGAGACTATTTACAGAGCTACCTTAGGACGTTCAATCTTGGGTGATAAATATTCTGAGTGAACAAAACTGAAAAGACAGAACAGGATGCAGAAAAGTTCAATAAACTTTCTCAAAATTTTATGATCTCAAAATCCTAATATTCCCTCGAAAAATCCTCATTTTTTCCTGCTGACAAAGATACAATTATATTCAAGTTGTTCTTTTAACTGTATAAATGTTATATCACAATGTATACAAATATATTTCTCAAATTTTTCCTTCACATTCTACAAGGAATTTTATACGATATATTTGAAGAATGCATTGGCTGTTATCAGATAGCTGTTTTATCATCACTCGAAGAATGAATCTATCAAAGGATGAATCACTTGTCATTTAAGGAAAGTTATTGGTTTCTATATTTTGGAGTGGAATTATTTAAATCATTATGGAACCCAGGAAATGAAATTGATAAACTTAATCATGTAACTAAGTTTCATCTGTAGTTTCACCTTTGTGAAGGTGAAAAAACAGACAAAACAAAAATATCTCATCTATATCAAAACTAAACCTTGAAAAAAACAAATATACATTAATTCTATTTCAACACACCATGTGGCTTATTTACTGCTTAGTTTGAAATACCCATATTTTTATGTCCCTAGCTACCGCCGTGGTTTAAGCAACCTTAAGGATTGGAAAAATACAAATCTTTAAAGGGAGGCACTCAGTTATTACAGCAACTCATGCACAGCCTCACTATTACCACTTTCGCCAAAACACACGTTCATAAAAAAGCATCACCTTCAGGAAGCCCCATTCCATTTTGTCAGAGCAACTTAAAATACTATTAAGTTCCCCATCTTTTATTGTTTCCTTCCACTTTTTCATAATTTTGCATAGAAAAATATTTTTTAAATGTTTGTATACTCACCTCCCTGAACAAAAGCTAGTTTTATGGGTAGAGTAGATTTTGCAGTGGCAAATTAAGGCAACAAAAGTGGCCATATGAGGGAAACTCACAGGGGTGCATGCAGTTTTATTGCACTGTTATTTGGCATACCAATGACAGAATTCTTGAATTAGTTAACACACACGCACAAATACACAACAACTCTGAGCTACAGGGATAGTATTCAGAAAAATCACTATGCCAAAAACATAACTTGTCTTGTAATACCATGAACTTTCCTGAAGTAATTTTTTATATATTTTTACAGCATTTAAGCAAACACACTTCAAAATTGATGCTACTGAAAAATCCTTTAAAAAGTAGGAAGGATTTTCTTTTGGTAAGGGGAGTTGTCTGAAATATTTTTTAATGCATCGACACTACGAAAATACAAGCCTATTTTTGATAACTATCACTACCATATTTTTTAATACTACCCAGACATATTTCTTTATTTTAACATACAGTTTCATTAATTATCATAAATACCATATTTGTGACATATCAGATAATTAGAAAATAAAACAGGTTTAGAAAGTTTGATAGTATTGATTATTGCTGCTTTTGTTTCTTAAGCTAGTCAACTAAATCATAAAGACATTGGAATGAGGTAATAACAGAATTTTTCAAGTGGACATTCATGCCCAAAATAAAGTCTGGAGATTTACTTTAAAGTTGTACCACTATATTGTCATGCAGACCCTCTAAAATAATTGTATCATTTCCTACCGTGTAATTGTATGCTTTTAAATTGACACTAAGTAAATTATGACAAGTACAAACAGGTGTGATTGAGAGAAGAGTTGTGGAAAGGCCCTTATGCCAAAATAAATATGTTTAAAAAGTAAAGCCTGTGTCTACAATTATCCTCACATTTTCTTAGGCATAAAAATGTAGCACTTGAGTTAATAAAATATTTAATAGGACTGATACACACATACTGACTCAAGAAAAATCTGTGTGTGTGTGTGAAATGTTTATTTACACAATGGGCATTGCCGGCTTGAAAACAGCAAATCAAATCAAAGTAAAATAGTAATAATAAGGATTAAGAAGGACAGCTGTGTGAATCCTTTTTTAGTGCCTAAAATCACCTAAATTTCTCAAAGATTTTTGAAAGAATGAGTTCACAAAAAGTTTCTCTACAGAGTATTTTCACTTTGGGAACTTTCCAGGTTTTAGGAATGCCCCACTCAAAAAGGGAGCCAAAGCATTGTTTCCAGATTGTATCAGCAGCTCTGTTTTTCTGTTCTAATTAGTGGCTAATAAATTCTAGTTATATCTTCATCAAAATGTTAACTCTTCCTATAATATACTAAAATTCTGTCTAAAGCAAAATAAAACTTGCCATCCCACTACTCTCAAATAGGCGAGGCAACAAACAAGAAGAAGGTGATGCTAGTGGTGGAAACCAGAAGTGGCCAAAGGGAGAAAAAAGGAGTCAAAATAATCATCCTTTATTTTCAGAGATCCTTGAACTGGTCACTGCAATCCTTGTTACTGGGACAATATCCTCACCAGTTGAGTGTACACACTAGCCCTAACTCCCTAGAGCTTTGTTCCCCAGGAGCAATTTTCATCAGAATCTAACTGCAACAAAACACATACTTTCACAACAGAAGCTCCCGAATACACACACGCTGGACTTTACCTGTTTTTATGCCGAGTCTTCAGCAAGTTCCTTCCAAAGGGAGCCATGGCCTGCCAGGCCAGCGAACAGCAAGGACAGTATCTCAAAGTTCTCTGGGGATGGGGGAGATACCTGGATTTCTAGGGTGAAGGGAAGAGACCTGGAAGCTTCCTCTTCACCTCTCAGATGCTCCTGGCTTTCAGCTCATTAGTATCCGTCTGAAGGGAGCTGCTGGAAGTTGTGCAACTGTTGCTTAACTTTGAACTGCGGGATTGCTGTGGCTGCTGCACCTTTGGAGACCTGCCCAGCTTCAGCCTCGAAGGAGGCATCTGGAGGCAGGAAAAGGAAAAGAAAAAAAAAAAAAAGAGAGAGAACGAGAGGAAGGGAGGAGGACTCTATTGTGTTCTATAGTTATTTGCAGACTTGCTAAAAGAGCTGCCACCCCACAGGCATGGTAATACCCACGGAATGGGAATTTCACTCGGTTATGGAAACCCCCCTCTTCCGCTCTCCACGCCCAACCACACAGGGTGAAGTGAACACACATAAAAGATTTAAAAGTAAATACCTCCACCTCCCATCCAGCTCCAGTCTGTGAAAAGTAATCTGACGGAGGCAAGCAGGAGTGAGGGCCAAGAAGTATTTGCCCAGCGATTCGACACAAAAATCCCCCGCCCGGGGTGTCAGTGCTGTAACATACATCGAGGAGTGAAGCTGGAGTCTGGATCGAGGGAGACTCCCAGACCCCTGAGGAATCTGAGCCCCGAGCATCCCCCAACTCCGTCCCTCTACTCTTCAAGGTCATCTTCCAAAAGCTGGAGGACCTGAAGGTCCAAAGGGCTCCAGGGCTGAATGATCACAGCACTGGCACAGGAACCAGCCAGGGTTTGGGGTCCCGACCCCGCCGCATCTTTGGCACTTACTGGCCCTTTTAGACCACGGGAGTTTGAACGAAGAGCCAACTGTTGGCTCTCGCCCCTCGAGTAGTAAATTGAGAAAGGACGCGCCGCGAGGACTTCAGGGAACTGAAGTGTGCGGTGCAGGTCGAGGGGCTGGCTGACATCACCTAATCTCACGTGATCTCGAACCCTGGCCCACGGCAGCCCCGGCAGAGTTGGGCGAGCGCACGCGGGTGCGGGCGGCAGCGAGCAGTGCGGGAGGAACTCCCCTGCCCCGCGACGCCGTGGGAAAGCGCTGTACAGGGGCGAGGCCCTGCAGAAACTTCCCAAGACATTTTTTCTAGGATTCCGTTTCCACTCCCCTCCTCCGACTCCCCTCTCTTCTGCCCCCGCCCGCTCGCCCCAACTCCTGCCCGCCCCAGGCCCTGCCTGCTGCGCTTCTAATCTTGGGCTTCCGTAGCAGAGGGAGGGAGGGAAAAGAAACTGTGGCTTCACTCTGAATACCACTTCAGGACAGGGGATCTCTGGACCACTAGAAACACGAAAGGCTCAGACTTTCTTTGGGAGCACACCCTCCACCCTCAACAAAAGCAAGCAAAAAAAGTGATCTTAAAGGTTTCTATAATTTTTACATGTCCTGATTTATGCAGAATTATACAGAGCTCAAAAAATCATTTTTCCAAAATTTACTAGCATAACTCTTCTCTAGTTCTCTATACTGTATACACATATATGTATTTTATATAACATTATTATCTAAAATTTGTTGTTTATTTGTAATTGTACATAAATATTATATATAAGCTATATATATATATATATATATATATATATATATATATAAAATCCCTAACTGTTATAAATTAGCCAATTTATTACAATAGCCAGTGCTTTAATTCAGTTACCTTTTTTCTACTCCTGGAAGATAGGATAATTTTTTTTTAAAATACAGTCATCTTTTAAATGGATCTGTGGTAGTGGTACCAGAGAAAACCTTTAAAATACTGAAAGTCATAAGTAGTAATGACATATTTTGTTTTATATGTTTATATATATATACATGTATGTGTATATATATATATGTATATACCTCACATATACATACACACTTTACATGCAGCATAAATAAAACCATATTGGGTGTACTTCAGTTTCAGTTCTTGACTTTATTTTACAAGCACATCACAAAAAGTGATTTAAACTATCATGGAAACTTGCCCAGTTATTCTAAGTTGTTCAAAATAGAATCCCCTAAAGCTATACTGCTTGCTTATTAATATGATGGCTGCAGCCAATTTGCAAAGAATGTTGCATTTACAAATATCCCTGCATTTCCTGTAGTTTTGGTTCTCCACCCTTATTAACATTATTTGTATATGTAGTTTTCATATAAAACGATTTTTAATAGAGGAGTTTAATGGAACAAGAGGAAACAACATTACTTCTTTACTAGCATAATCTTATGCTGAGTTTCAAGTTCGCACAAATGAACCTCATTTAGGATGTTATTATTCCTCACATAAAATATTCTATTAATACTATTTATGACAAGCTCTTTGATGTATAAGAATTAAATATCTCTCAGATATTAAAAGCTGAAAGGAATCAAAAACATGGGCACTAATATCTAAATAGAAAAGTAAGCAAATAACAATTTGAAAAGAAAATAACAAAACCATGTTTAAAAAAAAACTAGTAACCAGATATTGTGTAGGTAAATTGAAATGAGATTTTATTTTGCATCTACCAAATTGCCTGATTTTTAAAATGATGATTCTCAGCTCTGTCAGTATGATGGTCAGAGTAGTGTTGACACATAGTATTAGACAAGGAACTGGCTATTTTTCTTTACAGGGTAGAAAGTAGATAAAAAATTATCTCAAAGTGAAAATAAGGCAAACTAATGACTGCATGTCCTTTCAGTGATATAATGGAGCCTTGTCTAATAGTTCTTCCCAAAGATAATCCAGTCCCCTGGCAGAATGCAATTTTTTAAACTTACTATTTACTATTGATTAGGCCCAGACTCTGTGAAATTAAGGTTTAAGTTGTGTTTAAAAAAAAGGAAAGATGCAAGTAGAAAGATAACTCAAAAGGTTATAGTTTTATTGCACTGTAGGACATCAACCAATTTTACATCTAACTTAGTTTTATTTCAGCCTTCTGTCTTTAATTCACTAACTATATATAGCAGTCTTCCCTATCCTCTTTTGGGCCAGTTTTACAATTCTGCTGAGTTCCTCATTAATAAGTCAATCTTTGACACTTGCCCACTATATATTTGTATGAGATTCATAATAGCAGTTTTTTGAAAATTATACTTTGAAAAACTCTGAACATGCATCTGTCCTTTTCTGAACCAATAGGAAATCTTCATAGAAGAAAGATGGTTACTTATCTATACAATCCCTATCTTTCCCTATGTGTAAAATGTGTTTTGATGGCAGAAAATAGAATGTTCTTTCAATCATCTCTAAGTATACCGCTCAGCCAAAATAAATAGAAAAGGTATATTTCCTTACATATTTAAATTAACATGAAAAATCAACAGGGAAGATGGTACATTATACTTGATAATAAAAGAATGAATGTTCTCCTCAATCAAATGAACATTATTTAATCTGTGGTTGAGGTGTTTTCAGAAGCTAAACAATGTTAAAACATGTATTCTTATAGAAAGCCCTGTTTTTGAAGGAGGTATAACAAATGTATCAATTTTTTGTCTAGTTCATTCATAGCCTCTCTTCATATTAGGAAGTTGTTGGTTTTTTGTTTATTTTTTGCTGCACCACGCAGCATGTGGGATCTTATTTCCCCGAACAGATATCAAACCCATACTCCCTGCAGTGGAAGCACGTGGAGTCCTAACAACTGGACAGCCAGGGAATTCCCTAGGAAATCTTTTTTAAATCAAATTTTTCCAGTGTTATTGAGATATAATTGACATACATCACTGTATAAGTTTAAGGTGTACAGCATAATGACTTACATATATTGTGAAATGATTCTTGCAATAGGTTTAGCCAGCATCCATCATCTCATAGATACAATAAAAAGAGAAAGCAAAAAAGAAAAACAAATTTTTCTTTTTTGTGATGAGAAGTCAGGATTTACTCTCTTAACGTTAATATACATTATATACCTGTGTTAACTATAGTCATCATGCTGTTCATTACATCCCTAGTACTTATTTATCTTGTAACTGGAAGTTTGTACCGCCTACCTCCAATTCCCCCTCCCCCCAACCCCATCCTGACTTCTAGTGACCACACTCAAGACATCTTATTATATGAACTTTTCTGACTTTTAGCTTTAGCACATATGACTTCACTAAAAGGGTAGCAGATATAAGTATAGGGGTTAAGAGCATAAGTTTTGTAGCCGCAGAGACCTACGTCATAGTAAAGATCCTAGCCACTTCCTAGTAAAGATCTTGGATAAATTACTTGATGTGTCTGAGCCTCAGATTTCTGATAATAATAATGCATTCTCAGTTTTCATTAGACGTAAGTTTAGGAGAATTTTCACTTTTTTAAAAAATACTGTCTTGTACAGATGTGTTGTATTATTACTGGAAATTTACTCTTCACATTTTAATGATTAAATTGGCTTACTGGTGTACTTATCATACACATCTGTGCTGGTAAGAGAGCCAGTTTTCCCCAGGGCCTGCATGAAAAAAATAGCAGAGCTGAGGTTCTAGATCTTGGATTACACACAGGTACTTGACTCTGAGCCAGTTTATCACCACTCATATGGTAATCTGTGAGGAAATAACATACTACAGAGCTTGTTATAATCAATCAGTTTATCTGATTTACTGAAAACCCCATTTTCAATTAAGGGGAAAAGAGTAAGATAGAGAACCTGTTTTGTTTGGACAACAAATAACTCAGAAATAATTAAAACTGGCCAGAAGAGTGGAATCCAAACTTGAATGAGAATCTTTGGACAATCAAGATGTGGCAAAAGGGCACCATGTAGAACAGAGCTGTTTATAGCAAAAGGTAGAAAATCTCAAAAAAGTTAGTGGAGGATACGGTTAAGCTGAATTCCAGAGCTATTATTATTATTCCAATGAGTGTCTATCTTCTAAAGTTCTTTCCTATCTTAAGATTGCTCATGGAAATAGAAAACATGTCTAAAGAGTGGAACAGATGTATTTTTTTCTCACGGAATCTTTTAAATAATGAATGTAGGTGTCATGGGTTATGAAATAACCTCTCTAAAAGTTTTGAGCAAGGAAGAGATAACAATTTTGAATGGTTTAGGAAAAGCCCAGAAGCAGAGATCCCATTTCAGCTCTAGGATTCTATTACTGGCAGTACTCTTTTGATTCTCCAAAAAAAATTTAGAATGGCCGTCTAAGCTTTTGTAGGATTTACATAATCATGTCTAATTAGTCATCCAGCTAATAGGTGGCTCCAAGCTTTTAAATAATTAAACAGTATTTGAATAGCTGGCTGGTTGGGGGTTGGCCAGATACCTGTGTCCTAAATAAAAGGCCAAATTTCTTCACTTGGTAGCCATGGCTATTATTAATTCTAAATGAGATAAAGTGACAAATCCATATAAGGAAGGCTGCTACTAGTAATTGCTCAACTTCATGGGACTTCCCTGGTGGCACAGTGGTTAAGAATCTGCCTACCAATGCAGGGAACATGAGTTCGATCCCTGGTCCGGGAAGATCCCACATGCCACAGAGCAGCTGAGCCCCCGTGCTGCAACTACTGAGCCCCCGTGCTGCAACTACTGAGCCTCTGTGCCTAGAGCTCACGCTCTGCAACAAGAGAAGCCACTGCAATGAGAAGCCCGCACACCACAACAAAGCAAGCCCATGCTCAGTAATGAGGATCCAAAGCAGCCAAAAATTAAAAAAAAAAATCGCTCAACTTCAAAGAAAGTGTTGTGAAACAATGATACTTTAATAAAATGTGTGCATATGAATATATAAACACCCTCAAATATACATTCACCTGCTATATAAAATAATAGAGTTATAATGTGTTTTGGTGCTTTATGCAAAGCATTTTCATGTCTGATATCTGATTCCACTATGGTCAGCAGAAGAGAAAATATTATTTTAGTTTTATTAATAAGAAAACTGAGGTATAGAGCCAAGTGATGATTTAACTATTACTCAAAACAAAGAACAAACTGGA